CTCATGTGATTGTATTAGACTCATCACGTGATGATCTTTACTCATGTGATTGTATTAAACGCATCACGTGATGATCTTTACTCATGTGATTGTATTAAACGCATCACGTGATGATCTTTACTCATGTGATTGTATTAAACGCATCACGTGATGATCTTTACTCATGTGATTGTATTAAACGCATCACGTGATGATCTTTACTCATGTGATTGTATTAAACGCATCACGTGAATATATTATTGTTGTAAAATACTCCCTAGAATCATAAATACAATATCGTTCATTTTTCATTTAATAAATGATGAACTGCAATATGAACGAGATCGTGACTCTCGAAATTTCTGATACCCACGAGTTATTACCAGCACAAAACTGCCTGGTGACTATAACAGTTAACCACATACAGTGTTAACAGCCCGTGGTATCAGAGAGTATGCAGGATTCGCGTCAGTCAGAGTGCCTGCCTGGCGCAGGCACTCTGACTGACCTCCTCGCCGAGAGTACCTCGTTTAAAGTACACTCACTCTTTGACTTTTTCTTTTGCGAAAATATCTCTATTACTCTTTCATCTTACTGCACCAACTATAGCTTCAGTTTTGCACTCACACTAACCCCCACCTTTGCTTGCCTATTATCAGATACTGAAGCTAGCTTCGTGGGTATAGGGAATAGGTTGGATAAACATGTGGGTGGGAATGATTGAATTTTTGGAGGACCTGATGTGGAAAACAGTCGTAATGACCGACTGTCAGTGAATGAACAGAAGAATGGATAGAGGGACTCGAACCGTAGGTCTAGTAGTAGGTCCAACCTCCATCGCCACAGAGAGCACTTCTTTGACAGGTCTGCATCAGCAGCCACAATCCAAAACCCTAATGTTGCTCCCCACAACCTCAAAGACTTTCATGGTACTTCTATTCTCGTGTCCCTCAAGACTATATAGCTGTCAACTCAAGTTTCTCCGTCCATTCTTCTATTCATTCGTGTACCAACAAATGCATGCACAACATATACATGCACCAAGGTATACATACATAAAATATAAATATAAACATAAGAATGGAAGAAATCACAATAAAACGCGTGATAGTGAAAATAGGAAATAAAACTTGAGTACTTTCATGTGCTTAGACATATACTTACACATACGCTTGCACACACATCTTCAGATATCTGAAGACGTGTGTAATCACACGAAAGCGCTCAGGTGTTATTTTCTGTTTTCACTGTGGCATGTTTACATATGTAAGGATGTGGAGAGACAACAGAAGGAGAGACGAGATAGAGATAGCTGGAAGTCTGTTCCTATAAGGATGTGTGTACAAGCCACTGAAACACAGTGATCTTGGGCCCCGGGGAGCTATGGGTGTGGTGGGGAAGGGCTGGGGAGGAGGAGAGGTGGGGAGGGGGAAGAGAGTGGAGAAGGAGATAGAGGGAAGTGGGGAGATGAGGGAGAGGAGAGAAAGTGGTGGAAGGGAGAGAAGTGGGAGAGGGATGAAAGGGGCGGTAGAGGAGGCGGGTGAAGGAGGGAGGGAGAGAGAGAGAGAGAGAGAGAGAGAGAGAGAGAGAGAGAGAGAGAGAGAGAGAGAGAGAGAGAGAGAGAGAGAGAGAGAGAGAGAGAGAGAGAGAGAGAGAGAAAGTACAATAGGAAATATATTCAGAAAAGACAAGGGAAGAGTGCAATAAGACTAGGACAGCCTGTAGCACGTTTCGATCTTTGACTCCAGTAAGAAGACTCTGGGAAGGACAAACTACACAACCCAGACCAAGACAACAAAACACTGAGAAAACTAACAATGCTCCATGCTGTTGCCATGCTGTTGCCATGCTGGTGCCATGCTGTTGCTATACTGGTGCCGTACTGGTGCCGTTTTGGCTCCATGGTGTTGCCATGCTGGTACCATGCTGGTGCTATGTTGGTGCCATGCTGGTGCCATGCTGGTGCCATGCTGGTGCCATCCTGGTGCCATGCTGGTGCCATGCAATCTATATAATCTATGTCCTTCCCCAAATCTACACTCCACATCAAGTCTTCTTGCACTCTCTCTCTCTCTCTCTCTCTCTCTCTCTTCTCTCTCTCTTCTCTCTCTCTCTCTCTCTCTCTCTCTCTCTCTCTATCTATCAATCTATCTCTCTATCTGTCTCTACTTACATATATTTTTTTGACACTTCGGCCGTTTCCCACAGAGGCAGGGTAACCCGAAAGAGAAGAAACACTCTCATCATCACTCACTCCATTACTGTCTTGCCAGAGGGGTTTCGATACTAGAGTTCAAAAAACTGCAACATATCAGAGTGCAGGCACTGTACTTCCCACTGTACTAAACAGAGCCTCTCTGGTTAAAGTTAAAGTAGTCACTGCTAAAATAAATACACAACACCCGACACTGAAGATGTTATTTTAGAAAACGGGGTGTGGCCGCCTTCCCCCGGCACCCGGAATTACTATGCAAAGGCCCCTAATTTTTGCGTGTTATCTTCGATGGAGCATTTCTTTCAGTTAAGCCTTAAAATCCTGGGTATTAGGTCTCGCTTGATTAGGCTCCGTGTAGGATTTTAGGGTAATGAGTTCCTAGATATTTATAAAAGTTAGTGTTGTAGCAGCCGATTTGATGGCGTATTCATGGGGCTGCCAGATCAAGATGCCTCGGGGTTTCCTTCAAGACGGAGGCTTCTCTTTTGAGTCTTGTCTTTCTCTTGTTTACTGTTTACTCTTTTTCTTAACTATGCTTCTTTTCTGTTTTTATTTTTTTTAATAGACATGTGGGTTAGTTTGCATGTTTTAAATAGAGTTGTGACCTGATAATGGTTCCAGGAGGGAGCGAAATGCTATCGTGAATGTTAGTGAATTGTTCCAGCCACGGTGTTGTGATTTTTTTATTCTATCTAGTTATTGTGTATGTGTACTCACCCAATTGTGATTGCATGGGTCGAGTCAAAGCTCCTGGCCCCGCCTCTTCACTGGTTGCTACTTGGTTCACTCTCTCCATGCTCCATGAGCATGGTTCCTGCCTCCACTGCGTCACTTTCCCGACTATTGCACTTCCTGACAACTCTATGACTGAAGAAATACTTCCTAACATCCCTTTGACTCATCTGAGTCTTCAATTTCCAATTGTGACCCCTTGTTTCTGTGTTTCATTTATATATATATATATATGTGTGTGTGTGTGTGTGTGTGTGTGTGTGTTAGTTACCATTTTGTCCTAGGCACATGTCGATTAGACACTAGGCCTGTTGTGTGTGTGTGTGTGTGTGTGTGTGTGTGTGTGTGTGTGTGTTGTTTGTGTCTGCTTGTGTGTCTGTGTGTATCTGTCTGTCCACCAATGTGTGTCTTTCTATTTCTGTCTGTGTCTACCCCTGTCTCTTTCCGTCCGTCTGTCTCTGCGGGAGATCATAATGACTCACCATAAAGAGACGCGAGAAATTTAGGTCTCATGCTAATGATAGAGTGAATTAGTGGGCGGGTTTACTCTCGTCGTTACGAATGAGATTGTCATGGGAGCGATGAGCTGGGGTGGAGGGGGAGGCATCACAAATATCCCGCCGGATTTTGCAGCTCAATGGCGTTTTCCCTGCCTCTGTCGTCGCCTGCCACGGTTCCACCACGCACAAGTGTAAAGCAAACATGATGGGGAACTGAAGCGCAGTATGTGGTAATGTCTATTCCTGACGGCAAACTGCGGAAGGGAGATCTAACATTTCCCCCCTCACTCAGCCTAAGCTTGAACACACCCACAAATCCCGTACCAAATGCTCGTATTTTCTCGCGGATATCCAGCAAATGCGCGTAGCTCCCGCGGCATTTCGCGCGCGTATTTTGAATACTAGGCGGCCGTGTCGCGGATTTGAAATGCCAGGTCTTGGTTTGTGTCCCTTGTTTATGGTTATATATATATATAAAATATATTATTATATATATATATATATATATATATATATATATATATATATATATTATATATATATATATATTTTATATATTACATGTGTGTGTGTGTGTGTGTGTGTGTGTGTGTGTGTGTGTGTGTGTGTGGTGTGTGTGTGTGTTTTGTGTGTGTGTGTGGTGTGTGTGTGTGTGTGTGTGTGTGTGTGTGTGTGTGTGTGTATGTATGTGTGTGTGTGTGTGTGTGTGTGTGTGTGTGTGTGTGTGTGTGTGTGTGTGTGTGTGTGTGTGCAAAATAACCACAGTGGAAAAATAGCAAAACTCCAAGCGGTTTCGTGACCTCTTGCATTATCAAGGAATATTAAAAATAATAGGACAGAGGAAGACCTATAAGGCTGAGATATCACCTCACACATGACCCAACACGCTGAACCTGGAAGTGTAGTGAAGATTTCGTCAGGTTACATGTCAACTAAAATTTTACGACATATCAAGCATAGCTTAAAATCCTCCCAAAATTATACACATTATAAATTAATCTAATTAATATAACCCTGAACTCATATTCACACTGAAATCGGAACTGTTTTTTATTAACCTGTATGACACTTACCTGTATGACACTTACTGGTTTACCGCTTGGAGATTATTATATATTAATTTGATTATATTTCGCTCAACCATTGACTGGCTTGATGTAACATTCTCGGCCTTCTGAAAATCAAACGGATGGTTAAAATCTTTCAAGTTCTAATACTGTATTTGTTTTATTGTAATCTTAGTTCAAAATTCTATTTGAAAATCTTGATGCAGTAAACAAACATTTGGTTAAGAATTCCCCTTCCGTTAAGAAAATCCTGATGGCTGTCTTCAAGATTCCCTGTAAAGAAATGCGATAAAGTTTATTAGGGTCAAACTGGGAAAAGCTTTGAATTGAGATAACACCCAGATAATACTTGATAGTCCTTAGTCTAGGTAGAAGTAGACAGTTCTCAGTAGATAGCCTGGGTGTAAGTTTCCGTGTCCTCTGCATTCTGTCCCTGGTGTTACAGCTTCTGCCTGGGTGACACGTTACATCTGTCATGCTACATGTTTGTTCTCCCTGGTGTTACAGGTTCTGCGTGGGCGACAAGTTCTACCTGTGTGACAACAAAATCCTGTGTGAGTATGACTACGAGGAGAGGCTGGTGTTCGCCTCGATGGCCTGTACACCGTCCTCACTAGCTCAGCTCAAGAGACAGATTGGTGGATTAGAGGTACGTCTCCACCTGATGCTTCACTGTAAGAGCCTGGCTACGTACATATATATATATATATATATATATATATATATATATATATATATATATATATATATATATATATATATATATATAATATATATATATATATTTATATATATATATATATATATATATATATATTGAGATATGTATAAACACTAAGCTTTATGCACAGAAGGGGAGATATCTCTCTAAATGTACATAGGTATAGAGGAATATAAATGGTAGGGATTACAGGAAAAACTTCCAATTCTTCTAAGTTATTATCAACGTTTCGGGGGAAACAAGGACCGTCATCAGAGCCTTGGAAGATACTCGCGATTTTTTTTTTTTGAATAAGAATTGTGAGTATCTTCTCAAAGATCCTGATGATGGTGACTTTTATACCGAAATCTTGATAGTAATGTATCTTAAGATGAGAGAAATGAAAAGAATTTGTAAACAAAATGGGTGCTTTATTGTGTGTGTGTGTGTGTGTGTGTGTGTGTGTGTGTGTGTGTGTGTGTGTGTGTGTGTGTGTGTGTGTGTGTGTGTGTGTGTGTGTGTTGTGTGTGTGTGTGTGCGCTGCGTGTGTGTGTGTTTTGTGTGTGTGTTGTGTTGTGTGTGTGTGTGTGTGTGTGGGTGTGTGTGTGTGTGTGTGTGTGTGTGTGTGTGTGTGCGCGCGCGTGTGTGTGTGTGTGTGTGTGTGTGTGTGGTTGTGTGTGTACTACCTAGTTTGTACTCATAGTTGAGGTTGCGGGGGTCGAGTCGGCTCCTGGCCCGCCTTTCACTGATCGCTACTAGGTCACTCTCCCTGAGCCGTGAGCTTTATCGTACCTCTGCTTAAACTATGTATGGATCCTGCCTCCACTACATCGCTTCCCAAACTTATTCCAACCACTTACTGACTACTCTGTGGCTGAAGAAATACTTCCTAACATCCCTGTGATTCATCTGTGTCTTTAGCTTCCAACTGTGTCCCCTTGTTACTGTGTCCAATCTCTGGAACATCCTGTTTTTGTCCACCTTGTCAATTCCTCTCAGTATTTTGTTTTGTGTGTGTGTGTGTGTGTGTGTGTGTGTGTGTGTGCGTGTTGTGTGGCGTGTGTGTTGTGTGTGTGTGTGTTGTGTGTGTTGTGTGTGTGTGTTGTGTGGTGGTGTGGTGTTGCGTGGGGTGTGTGTGTGTGTGTGTGTTGTGTGTGTGAGTGTGTGTGTGTGTTTGTGTGTGTGTGTACTCACCTAGTTGTACTCATCTAGTTGAGGTTGCAGGGGTCGAGTCCGAGCTCCTGGCCCCGCCTCTTCACTGATCGCTACTAGGTCACTCTCCCTGAACCGTGAGCTTTATCATACCTCTGCTTAAAGCTATGTATGGATCCTGCCTCCACTACATCGCTTCCCAAACTATTCCACTTACTGACTACTCTGTGGCTGAAGAAATACTTCCTAACATCCCTATGATTCATCTGTGTCTTCAGCTTCCAACTGTGTCCCCTTGTTACTGTGTCCAATCTCTGGAACATCCTGTCTTTGTCCACCTTGTCAATTCCTCTCAGTATTTTGTATGTCGTTATCATGTCCCCCCTATCTCTCCTGTCCTCCAGTGTCGTCAGGTTGATTTCCCTTAACCTCTCCTCGTAGGACATACCTCTTAGCTCTGGGACTAGTCTTGTTGCAAACCTTTGCACTTTCTCTAGTTTCTTCACGTGCTTGGCTATGTGTGGGTTCCAAACTGGTGCCGCATACTCCAATATGGGCCTAACGTACACGGTGTACAGGGTCCTGAATGATTCCTTATTAAGATGTCGGAATGCTGTTCTGAGGTTTGCTAGGCGCCCATATGCTGCAGCAGTTATTTGGTTGATGTGCGCTTCAGGAGATGTGCCTGGTGTTATACTCACCCCAAGATCTTTTTCCTTGAGTGAGGTTTGTAGTCTCTGACCCCCTAGACTGTACTCCGTCTGCGGCCTTCTTTGCCCTTCCCCAATCTTCATGACTTTGCACTTGGTGGGATTGAACTCCAGGAGCCAATTGCTGGACCAGGTCTGCAGCCTGTCCAGATCCCTTTGTAGTTCTGCCTGGTCTTCGATCGAGTGAATTCTTCTCATCAACTTCACGTCATCTGCAAACAGGGACACCTCAGAGTCTAATCCTTCCGTCATGTCGTTCACAAATACCAGAACAGCACTGGTCCTAGGACTGACCCCTGTGGGACCCCGCTGGTCACAGGTGCCCACTCTGACACCTCGCCACGTACCATGACTCGCTGCTGTCTTCCTGACAAGTATTCCTGATCCATTGTAGTGTGTGTGTGTGTGTGTTGTGTGTGGTGTTGTGTGTGTGGGGTTGTGTGTGTGTGGTGTGTGTGTTGTGTGTGTGTGTGTGTGTGTGTGTGTGTGTGTGTGTGGTGTGTACTCACCTAGTTTTCTCACCTAGTTGAGGTTGCGGGGGTCGAGTCCGAGCTCCTGGCCCCGCCTTTTCACTGATCGCTACTAGGTCACTCTCCCTGAGCCGTGAGCTTTTTCATACCTCTGCTTAAAGCTATGTATGGATCCTGCCTCCACTACATCGCTTCCCAAACTATTCCACTTACTGACTACTCTGTGGCTGAAGAAATACTTCCTAACATCCCTGTGATTCATCTGTGTCTTCAGCTTCCAACTGTGTCCCATTGTTACTGTGTCCAATCTCTGGAACATCCTGTCTTTGTCCACCTTGTCAATTCCTCTCAGTATTTTGTATGTCGTTATCATGTCCCCCCTATCTCTCCTGTCCTCCAGTGTCGTCAGGTTGATTTCCCTTAACCTCTCCTCGTAGGACATACCTCTTAGCTCTGGGACTAGTCTTGTTGCAAACCTTTGCACTTTCTCTAGTTTCTTCACGTGCTTGGCTATGTGTGGGTTCCAAACGGTGCCGCATCTCCAATATGGGCCTAACGTACACGGTGTACAGGGTCCGAATGATTCCTTATTAAGATGTCGGAATGCTGTTCTGAGGTTTGCTAGGCGCCCATATGCTGCAGCAGTTATTTGGTTGATGTGGCCTTCAGGAGATGTGCCTGGTGTTATACTCACCCCAAGATCTTTTTCCTTGAGTGAGGTTTGTAGTCTCTGACCCCTAGACTGTACTCAGTCCTGCGGCCTTCTTTGCCCTTCCCCAATCTTCATGACTTTGCACTTGGTGGGATTGAACTCCAGGAGCCAATTGCTGGACCAGGTCTGCAGCCTGTCCAGATCCCTTTGTAGTTCTGCCTGGTCTTCGATCGAGTGAATTCTTCTCATCAACTTCACGTCATCTGCAAACAGGGACACCTCAGAGTCTATTCCTTCCGTCATGTCGTTCACAAATACCAGAAACAGCACTGGTCCTAGACTGACCCCTGCGGGACCCCGCTGGTCACAGGTGCCCACTCTGACACCTCGCCACGTACCATGACTCGCTGCTGTCTTCCTGACAAGTATTCCCTGATCCATTGTAGTGCCTTCCCTGTTATCCCTGCTTGGTCCTCCAGTTTTTGCACCAATCTCTTGTGTGGAACTGTGTCAAACGCCTTCTTGCAGTCCAAGAAAATGCAATCCACAACCCCTCTCTCTCTTGTCTTACTGCTGTCACCATGTCATAGAACTCCAGTAGGTTTGTGACACAGGATTTCCCGTCCCTGAAACCTGTTGGCTGCTGTTGATGAGATCGTTCCTTTCTAGGTGTTCCACCACTCTTCTCCTGATAATCTTCTCCATGATTTTGCATACTATACATGTCAGTGACACTGGTCTGTAGTTTAATGCTTCATATCTGTCTCCTTTTTTAAAGATTGGGACTACATTTGCTGTCTTCCATGCCTCAGGCAATCTCCCTGTTTCGATAGATGTATTGAATATTGTTGTTAGGGGTACACATAGCACCTCTGCTCCCTCTCTCAATACCCATGGGGAGATGTTATCTGGCCCTATTGCCTTTGAGGTATCTAGCTCACTCAGAAGCCTCTTCACTTCTTCCTCGGTTGTGTGCACTGTGTCCAGCACTTGGTGGTGTGCCCCACCTCTCCGTCTTTCTGGAGTCCCTTCTGTCTACTCTGTGAACACTTCTTTGAATCTCTTGTTGAGTTCTTCACATACTTCACGGTCATTTCTTGTTGTCTCTCCTCCTTCCTTCCTTAGCCTGATTACCTGGTCCTTGACTGTTGTTTTCCTCCTGATGTGGCTGTACAACAGTTTCGAGTCAGATTTGGCTTTCGCTGCTATGTCATTTTCATATTGTCTTTGGGCCTCCCTTCTTATCTGTGCATATTCGTTTCTGGCTCTACGACTGTTCTCCTTATTCTCCTGGGTCCTTTGCCTTCTATATTTCTTCCATTCCCTAGTACACTTGGTTTTTGCCTCCCTGCACCTTTGGTAAACCATGGGCTCATCCTGGCTTTTTCATTAATCCTGTTACCCTTGGGTACAAACCTCTCCTCAGCCTCCTTGGGATTTTGTTGCTACATATTCCATCATCTCATTAACTGGCTTCCCTGCCAGTTCTCTGTCCCACTGAACCCCGTTCAGGTAGTTCCTCATTCCTGTGTAGTCCCCTTTCTTGTAGTTTGGCTTCATTCGTCCTGGCCTTCCTGCTTCTCCCTCCACTTGTAGCTCTACTGTGTATTCGAAGCTTAAAACCACATGATCACTGGCCCCAAGGGTCTTTCATATGTGATGTCCTCGATATCTGCACTACTCAAGGTGAATACTAAGTCCAGCATTGCTGGTTCATCCTCTCCTCTCTCTCTTGTAGTGTCCCTTACGTGTTGGCACATGAAGTTTTCCAGTACCACCTCCATCATCTTAGCCCTCCATGTATCTTGGCCCCCATGTGGGTCCAAGTTCTCCCAATCGATCTCCTTGTGGTTAAAGTCACCCATGATCAGGAGCTTTGCCCTGCATGCATGAGCTCTTCTGGCCACTCTAGCCAGTGTGTCAACCATCGCTCTATTGCTCTCGTCGTACTCTTGCCTTGGCCTCCTGCTGTTCTGTGGTGGGATATACATCACTGCTATTACCACCTTGGGACCTCCAGAGTGAAGTGTTCCCACTATGTAATCACTTTCTTCTCCGCTGTCTCCTCTCTCCAGCTCATCAAAATTCCAGCGATTTTTGATCAGCAACGCCACTCCTCCACCCCCCCTGTTCCCTCTGTCTTTCCTCAGGATTTGGTATCCCGTTGGAAAGATGGCATCTGTTATCATACCTGTAAGCTTGGTTTCTGTGAGAGCTATGATGTCCGGTGATTCTTCTTTGACTCTTTCATGCCACTCCTCCCACTTATTTGTTATTCCATCAGCGTTTGTGTACCATACCTTCAGTTTCCTTTCCAACACTGTGGTTTGGGGGCCTGTGAGGGTGGGAGACCTGGTGGCATACTGTGGGATTCTATAGCTCGGTGTTGGGTGGAGGCTGTGGGTATGGATTGTAGTGTGTGTTGGGATGGTGTGATAGGTTGTATGGTTCTGAGAATAGTTGTGTGTGTGCTTGCCCTTGCTGTTCTGTTCTGCTCTGACTGACCTCTGCTGGTTCCCTCCTTGTCTCTTTTCCTAGCTCCTTTCGCTTTTTTGTCCTCTCCCTCAGCTGCTGTCGTTCTGATTTTGTTCTGTCTCTGTCTAGGAACACCCTCTTGTACTCTTCCGAGTATTTCAATCGTGGTTTCTCTTGGAGGATCCTGTTCCGCACTGTTTCCGTCCTGAGAATCAGCTTGATTGGTCGGTTTCTCCCCTTCGAGTACCCCCCTATTCTCTGAAAATTTACAATCTCGTCCATCTCTTCACCTATTTCCGTGATGATGTTCTCAATCTCCTTTCTTTCTTCCTGCTGCCTTTCAGTGTGTGTTCTTTCCTCTCTCTCCTGAAGCCCATGGATAAACACTGATTTTGCCCTTTCTTCCTCCCATTGCCTCACCCTCTGTGACTCTGGATCCTGCCTGTATGTGGTCAGTTCCTCCCTTGATTTTTCCAGTGGCTCTTGATAGCCTGGTTGTGCCTCAGCATTCGACCTATCACCCTCTCCATCTGCAACCAGCTGATCTTCCCTTTCACTCCTTGGTCCTCCTTGGCAGACTGATATGACCTTAGCATAATTCATAATTCCTTCCTTCCTGTGTGTGTGTGTGTGTGTGTGTGTGTGTGTGTGTGTGTGTGTGTGTGTGTGTGTGTGTGTGTGTGTGTGTGTGTTTGTGTGTGTGTGTGTGTGTCAGTGTGGGTAAAATATAATCACAACAGACAAATGATATTATAGCAAGCAGTTCATTCAGTTTAATCACAGCAGATAGTCAATGTATTCCAAGCACTTGGGTGATCTTTCAATCACATTATGACTAATACAAATGCACCTCACCTGTAGAAGTGACGTGATAAGTTGGTAGTACTACAATCGTGAACCTGAAATGAATACTGACCCCTAAACTCACGTCAGATCATAGTTAATGGTTGGTTGGTTAATGGGATTTAAAGCCTATCGTCTACCCAAACGTTCATTAAGGCCTCACGTCACCTCTCCATGACCAATCAGAAATATCGTAATCCTTAAAATAGGGATTAAAGTAATCTCTCAGTGTATATATATACACAGAAAAATATAAATCTCCCTGTGTATATCCTGTATTAAGTCAGTAACAACATGACAGTTAGACTGATATGAATACTAGAGCTTAAAATTATAATAATTACATTAATTAATAATGTAATCAATATATTAATAATTTATTATTGATTATTAATTTTATTAATAATAAATCCAGGGTTTAAACTAGACGTGGTAAAAATTAATACCAATTAATTAGTCGATGTTACGATTTTTTTTAACTTTTTTCACTAAGGTATTTGAGGAGGTAGATCATGGTAATAAATATGATATTGTATATATATATATATATTAGGCTTTTAATAAAGTCCCACATCAGAGACTATTGAGGGAAATTAAGGCACACGAAACAGGAGGAGAAATTTTTTCCTGGATGGAGGCGTAGTTGACAGATAGGCAGCAGAGAGTTTGTATAAATGGGGACAAATCAGAATGGGGGCACGTCACGAGCGATGTTCCACAGGGGTCAGTGTTGGGCCCCTTGTTGTTCACAATCTATATAAACGATATAGATGAGGGAATAAATAGGGACATAGAAAGTTTGCCGATGACACCAAAATAGGCCGTCTAATTCATTCTGACGAGGACATTAGAACACTCTAGGAAGATTTGAATAGACTGATGCAGTGGTCGGAGAAGTGGCAGATGTAGTTTAATATAGTGTATTAATGTTAGTAGAATTACTGACAATATGTTAGGTAAAGCTCCTGGAGAGCGAAACGTTGCCACAGTAAAATGTCACATTAGTTGCACTTGTGTCCTTTTACCTAACAGTTTAATATAGACAAATGCAAAGTTCTAAACATTGGACAGGAAAATTACCATGCTACATACAAACTAAACAATGTAGATCTTAATATTACTGATGGTGAAAAGGGTTTAGGAGTTCTGGTTAGCAGTAATCTAAAACCAAGACAACAGTGTATAAGTGTTTATCATTTTCTTTGCACGTGCGATCGTGGCACTGTTGTGATCCTTGAAAGTGAGATCCCCAGGTCCCTTACATTATTTTTCCGCTCTATTGTATGGCCAGAGTCTGTAGTATACTCTGTTCTAGTTATTATCTCCTCCAGTTTTCCATAACGATAAAGTTAACAGAATCCTTGGCTTCATATCAAGAAGCATAAATAACTGAAGTCCTCAGGTTGTTCTTCAACTCTATATATCTTTGGTTAGGCCTCATTTAGACTATGATGCTCAGTTCTGGTCACCGTATTACAGAATGGATATAAATGCTCTGGAAAACGTACAAAGGAGGATGACAAAGATGATCCCATGTATCAGAAACCTTCCCTATGAGGATAGACTGAGGGCCCTGAATCTGCACTCTCTAGAAAGGCGTAGAATTAGGGAGGATATGATTGAGGTGTATAAAGGGAAAACAGAAATAAATAAAGGGAATGTAAATAGCGTTTTAAAAATATTTAGCCAAGAGAGGACTCGCAGCAATGGCTTTAAGTTGGAAAAATTCAGATTCAGGAAGGATATAGGAAAGCACTGGTTTGGTAATAGAACTGTGGATGAGTGGAACAAACTCCCGAGTACCGTCATAGAAGCTAAAACGTTGTGTAGTTTTAAAAATAGGCTACATAAATACATGAGTGGGTGTGGATGGGTGTGAGTTGGACATGACTAGCTTATGCTAGTAGAAGAATTGAGACACTTATGCAACACATGGGAATCTTTATTGAAGAAACGTTTCGCCACACAGTGGCTTCATCAGTCCAATACAAAGTAGAAATGGGTAAGGAGAGTAGAAGTATGAGGTAATCAGTCCCTCAACCTGGATTCGATGTGTTCAGTCCATCACTCTTGTAGTAAGTGCAGCATAAGGCCAGAGAGGTGGCTTATATACTGCGGTGAGATGAGTTGAAGCAGGAGGAGGCGGGATCTTAGTGGGACCTGCCACTAATGTAAGTAGGTCATCGTCCAAAGGTTTGGGCAAGCGTTGAAGTCTTTGTAGGTCTGATGCCGTGCTCCTTCCTTAAGTGGATGTGACATGACCTGACTATGTTGGGTTAGTGGCTTAAGCTAGTAGGTGACTTGGACCTGCCTCACATGGACCAGTAGGCTTGTTCTAGTGTTCCTTCTTTCTTATGTTCTTAAATTAGTTTACAAGTGGATTGTTATAGTTTGCTGGTTGAGGAAACTGAAGGTTGCTGGAGTTTACCTTGAGTATACCATAGTGACTTCATTTATGTCTAGGGTAAACTACAGTAACTGAATTTACACCCACGACGGGAAACCATAATGTACCTGTGGCTTACTGGTGGCTTGTTAGTGGCTTGCTAGTGGCTTACTAATGACTTGCCCGTGGCATGCCAGTGACTTTTTTCAAGAGTTCTTCCAGTCTTGTTGCTCGGCCCAAAGCCAGGGTTTTCATGTCGAAGGCCTGGTCAATCAGACTATTGGTGCTATTGGCCCTCAGGAGCTCGGATCGTAGCCTACATTTAGGGAAACCAGTCCCGTAGATTTTGAAGTATGGCTCTGTAGAATGCTACTATAGAATGCCACTGTGGAATGCTACTGCAGAATGTCACTGTAGAATGCTTCTATAGAATACCACTGTAGAATGCTTCTATAGAATGCCACTGTAGAATGTCTCTATAGAATGCCTCTATAGAATGCCGTTGTAGAATGCCACTGTAGAATACCTCTATTGAATGTCGTTGTAGAATGCCACTGTAGAATGCTTCTACAGAATGCCACTGTAGTATGCCACTGTAGAATGCCTCTATAGAATCCCTTTATAGAATGTCGTTGTAGAATGCCACTGTAGAATGCCATTGTAGAATGCCACTGTAGAATGCCACTGTAGAATGCCACTGTAGAATGCCATTGTAGAATGCCATTGTAGAATGCCACTGTAGAATGCCATTGTAGAATGCCATTGTAGAATGCCACTGTAGAATGCCACTGTAGAATGCCACTGTAGAATGCCACTGTAGAATGCTTCTATAGAATGCCTCTGTAGAATGCCACTGTAGAATGCCATTGTAGAATGCCATTGTAGAATGCCACTGTAGAATGCCTCTGTAGAATGCCACTGTAGAATGCCTCTGTAGAATGCCACTGTAGAATGCTTCTATAGAATGCCACTGTAGAATGCCACTGTAGAATGCCACTGTAGAATGCTTCTCTAGAATGCCTCTGTAGAATGCCACTGTAGAATGCTACTGTAGAATGCCACTGTAGAATGCCACTGTAGAATGCCTCTGTAGAATGCCACTGTAGAATGCTTCTATAGAATGCGTCTGTAGAATGCCACTGTAGAATGCCACTGTAGAATGCCACTGTAGAATACCACTCATACAATGCTTCCACTGTCTACAGGGTCCGGCGATCATTGACGACACCCGTAAAGGCAATACGACCGCCAGTTCGACCCCCGCCACAGCCCCACTCCACAACCCTGCCCTCCACCACCACCACCACCACCCCACCACCACACCAACGCAGCAACAGCAACAACAACAGCAGCCACAGCAGCTACAGCCACAACAGCAAACGCAGCTCATGCAACAGCAACAGCAGCAGCAACAGGGACAGCAACAGCAGCAGGGACAAGCGCAGCAGCAGCAAGGGCAACCACCACCGACAGCGCCCCAACAGCGACCCATGGTTACGTGATGCCCCCAGTACCACCACCACTACCACCATCACTACCACTATCCTCAATACCACAACCACCTGCCCATTGCTCGTCTTATGCCATCTGAATTGATAATGCCATAATGTACACAGCAATCACACACACACACACACACACACACACACACACACACACACACACACACACACACACACACACACACATCACATATATATATATATATATATATATATATATATATATATATATATATATATATATATATATATATATATATATATATATATATATATATATATATATATGGTTTAGAAAGACACGTAAGCAAACACTATAACATATTTATTAGAAAACGTTTCGGTCCTGGGACCTTCATCACTTCTAACATACAGAGGTAGAAAGACATTATATATATAGGCGGAGAGTGAGATGTGACGCACGTGACCTGAGGAATGTCATAAGAACATAAGAATGGAGGAACACTGTAGAAGGCTTACTGGCTCATGCGAGGCAGGTCTTTATCAAAGCAACCTCTACCTATGATGAGGACGGGTAGACGATGAAATCATGTGACTCCTGTGTTGTTGAGTTGGTGGTGCTTAAGTATCATGTATGCCAATGTTTTTGAAATTTTATAGTTTCCAGTGTTGCGTTCTATAGTGTCGGTGACGGCGATTAGTGAGGCTTCTAGGCACCGTCGGCGTCTGAGGTCTGGTTCGGTGAGAACGAGTTGTGCCTCATTCCAGTTCATCAAATGCCCCGTGGAGTCTCTGTGGAGGACACAGCGTATCTTACATCGTCTCTGTTAGAGGCATTTCGATGCTCATTCAGGCGGACTGCAAGATCTCTGCCTGTCTCGCCTATATATTTCTTGGGACAGAACCCACAGGGGATAGTGTAGACGCTTGCTGTAGAAGTTAGAGGTGTGGGGCCGCGTTTCGTAGTGAGGTCTTTGATAGATGATGTGTTTATGGTGGAAACGTTGATGTTACTCATAGCAAGTGCCCGGCGAGTATTCGTGGCAACATCGCCACATGGGAGTACTATGAACTGTTTAGGGGGCTGTTCCATGGGGGGTTTGTTGAGGACAGCTTGTGCCTTGAGTCTGCAATCTCGGATGAAGAAAGATGGGAACTGAAGACGTGTAAAGGCTTGTGTTATGTAAGTGCATTCTTCTTCTAGAAAACAAGGGCTGGAGATGCGAAGAGCTCTCAAGAAGAAGCCAATGAGGACTCCTCTCTTAGTGCGAGTGTCTTGGTGTGAATAAAAGTGTATAAGATCGTCCTTGTTGGTAGGTTTTCTATACACTTTGAAGAGAAGTTTGTCACTGTCGGGAGATCTGCTCAGTAGAACGTCGAGGAAAGGAAGTTTGCCATCATTTTCGAGTTCAAGTGTAAACTTTATTGATGGTTCAACTGCATTGATCTTGTTGAGAAGGGCCTGGATATTGAGACGTCTCGGATAGAAAACCAATATATCATCAACGTATCTTAGCCAGGTAACGGTGTTGGGAATGATGGTGCTGAATTTCTCTGTCTCCAGGTTTTCCATGAAGAGGTTGGCAAGCACAGCACTGAGCGGGCTGCCCATTGCCATCCCAAAGCATTGTTTGTAACAGTTGTCCTGATACTTGAAGAAGTTGAAATTAACACAAAGTTCCACTAGATTGATGAAATCTAGAAGAGGTAAAGGGAGGTCGTGGTTTTCAGTGAGCCTCTGTCTCAGAATGTTGATTGCAGCGTCAGTAGGAACGTTGGTAAAGAGGGCTGTGACATCGAAGGAAGCCATGCTTTTGTTTTTGACATTCAGGTTGGAAATTCGGGAGAGAAGGTCACCAGAGTGTTTGATGTGGGCTTGACTGATGGTGCCCAGAAGCGCTGAAAGGTATTTGGCAAGGTGGCCGGCTAGTCTGTGTGGTGCACTCCCTATGCCCGAAGTGATAGGCCGTAGTGGAATGCCAGGTTTGTGTGTCTTAGGAAGGCCATACAGGCGTGCTGGTTTCGGTTGACCTGGTAAAAGTTTAAGTAGTTTTTTGCCTTGTTCTGATTTTCGTAAGATGCTACGAGCCTTTTGAAGGAAAGTCTGGGTACTTTGGGTTCTGTCCCAAGAAATATGTAGGCGAGACAGGCAGAGATCTTGCAGTCCGCCTGAATGAGTATCGAAATGCTTCTAACAGAGACGATGTAAGGTACGCCTGTGTCCTCCACAGAGACTCCACGGGGCATTTGATGAACTGGAATGAGGCACAACTCGTTCTCACCGAACCAGACCTCAGACGCCGACGGTGCCTAGAAGCCTCACTAATCGCCGTCACCGACACTATAGAACGCAACACTGGAAACTACAAAATTTCAAAAACATTGGCATACATGATACTTAAGCAGCACCAACCCAACAACAGGAGTCACATGATTTCATCGTCTACCCGTCCTCATCATAGGTAGAGGTTGTTTTGATAAAGACCTGCCTCGCATAAGCCAGTAGGCCTTCTACAGTGTTCCTCCATTCTTATGTTCTTATGACATTCCTCAGGTCACGTGCGTCACATCTCACTCTCCGCCTATATATATAATGTCTTTCTACCTCTGTATGTTAGAAGTGATGAAGGTCCCAGGACCGAAACGTTTTCTAATAAATATGTTATAGTGTTTGCTTACGTGTCTTTCTAAACCAACTTGTCGGTATTTATTACCAAGGTTTATATCATATAATATATATATATATATATATATATATATATATATATATATATATTATATATATATATATATATATTATATATATATATATATATATATATATATTCAAAACAATCACTGTGAAAAAAATAGTGAAATTCCAAGCGCTTTCGTGATCTCACATCATCAAGGAACTGTAAATATAATGGAACATCAGAAAGCTTATAAGACTGAGATATCACCTCACAAACGACATTACACTTCTAATGCAAACAAAAAAATAAACAGGACTGCATGAGAGGCTTCATGTGGTGGTGACTCACGTCTTCAGAGGGACAAGTCACGAGCAGTGGTGTAGGTAGTGGGTGTCAGGTGACTGTTCTTGTGTAAATAATGTATATAGATGTATGGACTATTGGTTCATTCATCCGTCAAGCCAGCTCATGTGATGTGGCATCCGCTCTAGTCAACTGAACCTCACCCACCTCATCTTACTAGTCAGTATACAACTGTTTATATATATATATATATATATATATTTATATATATATATATATATATATATATATATATATATATATATATATATATTTGTTTGTCTAAGTTATCTGTTATTACTCTCCTATTAAGGTAAAATCTCACCGCCCTTACCTTAAAGTCTGTATACATCCTTCCTTAACCAAGCCTCCCCAAGCCTTGTACAGTGTTCACCCCACTCCCGTGTACAGCCGTATCTGTACTACAGATATATTGTTCATCACCTACCCTCCCTCTATTCCACACACACACACTCCCTACTTATCATCGTACTGGTATGTGAAGCTGTGTAGTATCTGTATAAATGCTAATAGTAATAGAGGCTTTATGTACCTTGAAACAAATGTTCACAAATGATTTAACAATGGTATTTACAAGTTAATGCAATTGACCCTTCGTACCTTCCAAAAATATAGGTAAAACGTCTATTAATCTTTGTATGTATAATTACACACACACACACACACACACACACACACCACACACACACACACACACACACACACACACACACACACACACACACACACACACACACACACACATATATATATATATCCCAGTTATAATTTGTTTTATCTCTCTCTCTATCTCTCTCTCTCTTTCTCTCTCTCTCTCTCTCTCTCTCTCTCTCTCTCTCTCTCTCTCTCTCTCTCTCTCTCTCTCTCTCTCTCTCTCTCTCTCTCTCTCTCCTGTAACAATGTGAGTTATAAGGCCAAAGATGTCGAGATATAGAGATAAATTGATATTTTTATTTATTTATTTCTTATGAGTTCAGTCATGTGTAAGATTTCACTGATGAACGTTCAGGTTTGTCTGATCCTTTTCCTTGGATCAAGAGCCCTTCACTCGGGCACTGAGATCACCGTAAGGGTGATATTCCTGCAGTGATAAGTACCAAAGTCGACCTTATTGATGGGACCTTATTGTATTGCCTATGTGCTCACCGTGTTGGTAGGGGGACGAGGCACAGCTCCTGGTCCCGCCTGCCATGACTGTTGTGTGTCTGTGTTGTCTTTATGTGAAGAAATAAATGAACTATTGAATTCTGAGATGTTTTATTGTCTTAAGACACCAGCCTGATCTAGTTCACCTGATCTTGTTCACCTGATCTTGTTCACCTGATCTTGTTCACCTGATCTTGTTCACCTGATCTTGTTCACCTGATCCTGTTCACCTGACCTTGTTCACCTGATCTTGTTCACCTGATCTTGTTCACCTGATCTTGTTCACCTGATCTTGTTCAACTGATCTTGTTCACCTGATCTTGTTCACCTGATCTTGTTCACCTGATCTTGTTCACCTGATCTTGTTCACCTGATCTTGTTCACCTGATCTTGTTCACCTGATCTTGTTCACCTGATCTTATTCACCTGATCTTGTTCACCTGATCTTGTTCACCTGATCTTGTTCACCTGATCTTGTTCAACTGATCTTGTTCACCTGATCTTGTTCACCTGATCTTGTTCACCTGATCTTGTTCACCTGATCTTGTTCACCTGATCTTGTTCACCTGATCTTGTTCACCTGACCTTGTTCACCTGATCTTGTTCAACTGATCTTGTTCACCTGATCTTGTTCACCTGACCTTGTTCACCTGATCTTGTTCAACTGATATTGTTCACATGATCTTGTTCACCTGACCTTGTTCACCTGACCTTATTCACCTGATCTTGTTCACCTGATCTTGTTCATCTGATCTTGTTCACCTGATCTTGTTCACCTGACCTTGTTCACCTGACCTTGTTCACCTGACCTTATTCACCTGACCTTGTTCATCTGACCTTGTTCAACCTGACCTTGATTCACCTGACCTTGTTCAACTTACCTTATTCACCTGACCTTGTTCAACTGACCTTTCACCTGACCTTG